CTGAAATCAATCTTTAATTGCAGGGACTAATATGTAATTAAGCTTTATTAGAATGAATGGCCACAGACTTTGAATGAGAACCTGATAATAGCACAGGACGATACAGAATGTTATCGCATGTCAACATCCCTAAGGACGTTAAGTCGTCACCCATTCCTTTCTCTTCCACGGGTGAAAACACGTCACATGATGCCAAGAAGAGCACCCAGACATATAATTAATGGTACAATAATATGTTAAAATCTTTAAGAGACAACCTAAATCTACAGAAAGAACCACAGTTCAGAGGGATGTTTGGCGAGTCTTTGCTTCTCCATCTTTTATTTTCTTCTGCTGAACTTCGATTTGAGCTATTTTTAAGATGGTACAAAGTGTAAACACAGCGATGATTACGCGGTAGCCTCCTTCTTACCATAAAAAAAAAAAAAAACAAGTAAAAGTTCAAACACAAATCCTTCCCTCATTTGCCATGCAGGGGCCTTGCTGCGGCAGCTAAAGCAATGCCAGTCATCAATCATCTTGGAATAAAGCCTTGGATACAGAAGAAGAGTAGTTCTCAGGATCTTTGCATTCGTCATCTCCTTCACTTGTATTCCTAGAGCACAGACGTTTCGCTTCTGTCATTGGGGTCTCACAGACAACACTATGACTAGCTCTTTCTTTATCCTTCCTCTTGGAGTCCTTATTCATAGAATCAGACCTTCCATTCATTGCCTTGAGTGGCTTTGGTGCCCAAACTCTTTGAAGATCAGGCATCCAACTTGTAAAAGACACAAATCTTCTTGCCCTCTCTCTCCTCTCACGAGCTTCACTTAACTTGCGTGCTTGTTCATCTTTTCTAATTCCTTCAGGACTCTCATCAACATTCTCCTGTTGCTGGTACGTCTCCTCCTCTACCGAGATTGATTGATATACGTTGTGACTTTCAGCCTTCTCATACGTGTCTTTGTTATCCCTCCAAGATTGACCACTATCCTCACTGTTGAAGAGAAGAGCTTGGGTCTCATCCTCGTCACCGAAGGGCAACAAATCCATTTGAGTGTAGAGATCCTTCACAATATCGTCGAGTACGTTACAATATCTGAAAAGTACAGGCATCATGTATTAGCTTGCAAAATTGCTGCTTCTCAACACGTTAATCTCTGACACGTAAATATGGCAGTGAAGGGGCAAAAGAGAGGAGTTCTACTGTGCGAGAAGATATACTCATTTTAGATCCAAAAAGATATAACCAGATTCATGCTTGAACAATATAAGCAGAGGCACATGTGCCAGCCTGCATCTAGTAAAACCACATAAATGGTCTTCAATAGTTGTCTCTTGAACATCATATGTTGCTAAACAAGGAAAATCAGCTCCGAAATTATATAGATATCTTGCTTTAAGGATAATAGCATGGCTAATGAAGCTGGAAACAACAATGTGCAGGTAGAATACAATGCTCTCAGCACAAGGCATGAAGTCCATGATCATCGAGTTGATATAGCTTTTAGATTTACTGCTAATTTACTAAAGGGAGGCAAAAGACGGATACTTAATTAGATGCAACTGAGATAATGAAGTGAAAGTAATACTCTGCTAGGCTCAGTAGAACATAAGACTAAGGGAAAATTTGAAAGATGGGAATAAGAAGATTTACAATTCATACGTTGGGTGAAAATTTTCGTTTATTTGTGATCGGGATATGAGTTACTGTTCAAATAAATTTATTTCTAGTTGACTGAATCACCCTTTGTTAATTCTTAACAATGTGGGGAAAAAATCTTAACAATGTCCACCTTAATGACTAAAATTTTGCACTTTGGCGAATGTGTACATATATCAGAATGTGCACATGTCAAAATCAATACATGCACACATATGTATACTCAAATGTGCACATATGAAATATGTGCCCATCCAGTGCTAGTATTTGCACATAAGGGTAATTTCATGATTTTGCCTGCAATATTAATTTTCTTATAAATTGTGCTCGGTTACCCACACCTCATCTACAAATTTCCTAAAACTTATACCCTTCTTATGAATTTTCGGATCTCCCTATTCACATTTTCCAATTTTAAATCAATTGCTTTCCAGATGAGCTACCATATTTGATGTTACTAGCTTTGAGTCCTTTATTGAGTTATTACCTCATTTTGATGGTACGCTCAACATATTCATACAGGCTAACATTACCATGGATGCCTCCATCGATGAGATACTGAATGATGTCTAAAAGGGAGCAAATCTGCTTCAAAAGCTTCTGCTTTAATGGCTGCTCCTTATTCACTGAAATATCTGACCGAAAAATCTCCATCCGCAGTAAAACCTGCAATTCATATCTAGTGCGAGTAAAGGAAATGACATGTATAATGAGAGCTAGCTTTCACAATTTCAAAGAACTTGTAACAAAAGCACAGATTTGTAGAATATATTAATTCAGTGAAGTGTTGAAAAGGATACTTTCTAACTGTTAAATCTGAAGCAGGATTTGGATCACAAGAATTGGAGGATGGATTGCTGCAATTTCTCATATCATTCATTTCCTTGGGGTCTGTTAATAATAAGTCAATCAGTTTTGCACCAAGTGATTGACAAGAACCATCTAATTGTATTGGATTTTGACCTTCTGCATTTTCGCATGTTTTGTAACTTCTAAGTAACCAATAAATGGATGACTTTACAAGTCGTTCAGCCAATGTCTGCAAGTGCATTCCTGATTCAAGTCCTTGTTGGATTCTCTTTTTAAGACTACCAAAGAAGGCTTCTGAGGTCTCTGGACATGAAGATATCACAGCTTCCTCCTGCTTTCCAGATTGTTCAGATGAAACGCTAAGTGATGGGGTTGATTCCTCTGTGGAGTTGGATACATGAAAAGATTTTACGTAGTTTTGGCTATGGTTCCCAATCTGCTTTAACCAGCATTTCAAGAACTTAAGCTTCTTCGGTTTATCAAACTTTCTAGAAAAGTAAATTGCTGCCAAGTCAAAATCAGAACATTCAGAGGCTGCCTTGCAAAAGGAGCTCCATGTGAGGTCCTGGTGCAAATGCTTTTTGTGTTTTTTCATCTTTCCACCTCCAAAAGGATCACAATCCCCAGAAGTTGAAGTCTCAATTTGAGAACCAATAAACCCATTTGAGTTGCTTATATCAGTATAAGAATTGTAAGTCTCACACCGCCCCCTGCCCAAATTTGATACACTGCAGCAATGATCCCCAAGAAAATCACTATCTACTACTGAGAGAAGAGCCGAATGTGCAGTGAAAGGCTTGAGAACACCAAGAATTGTATCTCCATTTTTGTTTGAAAGGGAGACCAGGGCCAAATAACCTTCACCAGACAAGAAACTCAGAAGAATCTGCCAGATGGGCATTGTATTACAACTGCAGGCCTCATTTATTTCTCTAGATAGTATGTCAAGGACCCTATCAGCAAAAAAATCATCAGTCGAATTCCTTTTCTGTTTCTTAGATTCTCTTGACGACTCTTTCACCAGGATGCAGTCAGATAAACACCCTTCAATCTTCTCTTCCTCATTATACTTCTGCACAGCCTTAAAGCTCAGCTTTATCATTCCATCACCAAAGCGATGCCAAAAAGCTTCACGACTATCAAGCTTTTCGCTTTGTGAGTCTCTTAACTCCAAGGAACCCCAGCTATCATCAGATTTTTTCCCAGATAAGGTCTTCAAATTCAGCAGTTCAAGATGACAACAGTTGCATTCCAAAGGTTTACCATTGACATCGAAGATCTCAAGATATAATTGCACATCACTACGTTTACATGACCAACTTGAATTGGCAAAGTTCAATGAAACACCAATTTTCGGGTATATCAATCTAAAAGGAAGAATAGCAGATCCCAGAATAATTGAGTCAGTTGAACAAAATCCCCAACCCAAATTTCTGATCCCTTCATCAAATAATCCTAATTCTTTTCCAAATATATTTTCTTTGACTTCATTGTAATTACCTTGTGATTCATACTTGACATTAATCCAACTCAAATGAATATCCCTCCCAGCAAATGCATCATGCACAGCACCAAACAGATGGCAAAAATTAACAGAGAATTCATCCAATTCACACAAAACTCGAGAACCCACACCCACATCCACATCCAAATAATCAGATAAGCTGGAAATTGAGCAACAAACAGAGGAAAACAAAAGAACCAAATTCGATCGAACTAGAGGAAAATGCTGATTACCTTTTCCTACAACAGTTTCCAGTTCAGACTCCCACGCGTAATCATGTACCAACTGAAGCAATGAGGCAGCTGTATGGGAAGCGAGAGGTCTGGCATTTGATAATTCGGTCGAAATTGGTGACAGCGAGAGAGAATTGAGGGCAGTCGAGAGAGAAGCTAGGGTGTGGGAGGGGTCATTGAAGGAGAGAGAAGTTAGGGAAGAGTTGGGAAGCAAGCGGTGGACGGCAGAGGCAGACCGAAGCGGGGAAAGAGAAGAGAAAAAGAGCTTGTAGGCGAAGAGAGATTTGAAGAGAGGCGGAAAATTGAGGAGGCGTGTGACGGATGCAACAGTGGCGGTGAGGTAGGGGTTAGGGTTTTCAAGACAGAAGAGTGGGTGAAGATCTATGAGCAATACGATGCGTTCTGTCTTTGAGAAATCTAAGGGCTCCGTCATCGTGGCCACGGGAAGCGTGATAATTTACCCTCTATGTATCTGTGTCTTCTCCTGTTGGCCGAGGGGAATGTCGGCCTGATACCGGAATATATGTGTTGTAAACGCCGTGGAATGACAGTTAGGCACCTGCCTCCATTGTGATTCCGGGGACTGGAGTGAATTTTTGGTGGCGAGGAAGCTGTAGGAGGCTCACCTACGCGTACACGTATACCTGGGTTGAAAATGGAGCATTCAATCAAATCCAAAGCGGTAGTAGAAGAAGAAGAAGAAGATGGCTCACTGGTTTTGGCGGGAAAACTGAAACGGCGGTCAGATTCGCTTTTCAAAATCAGATTTAAAAAGGAAGCCGCAAGAGCTGCTAAAATGCGCCGCCGGCCGCAGCTGCAACATTTTAATCATATCACGTGATCATGATCGAAAACCACGTGACATCCACCAGTGGCGATTTTCATCTATCACACGACGTCGTTGAGCACCCTATCTGCTTCTTCCGCGATTTTCATTTTTTCTGCAGCTGGAACTTTTGCTGGTACTTGTCTAGTCGTCTTCTCCTCTCGTTCTGTATCAACACAAACGACGGCGTTGAGAGCTCCTCCGGTCCGCATATACACTTGGGCAAATGTCTTTGGTTTGTAGCTCTAGGCTAATAAGCAGAGATTATGGGGTTTGCTTAATTTCTCCAACCCCGTCGTCGTCCTCTTTCGCAACATATACGACGTTTTCGTTTTCATTGGGGCATCCTGTACTATTTAATAAGTTCCCACCAATACCATGTCGTCGACCACCCTTGTCTTCTTCCTCGCCGTCGAGGAGACGAACCCTAGTTTGTTCCAAGTCATCTGAAGAAGAAGAAGAAGAGGTATCCTCTGGTGGAACACAAGTGGACGAGTGGTTACAGAGACTGCCGGATAAGAAAAAGCCCTTGTACTCTCATAGCTTGCCTTGCGTGGAGGCATGGTTGAGGAGCTTAGGGTTTCATCAGAGCAAAGAGGATAGAGCTGTTTGGTTTGTGGAGAATCCTGATTGGCATGCCCAGCTCTCCCTTGATGTCACGGACCTCTACATTAGGTCCATTTCTGCCAACCCCCTTTTTTGACTAAGCATTACTTTTTCGTGCGATTGCTTTCACCTGATTGTAGTAGAGTCAGGAACATATAACCAAATAGCTAGCAATTTTCTGCAGAACCCCTTTATTCCTAGGCATTGTATTAGTGATTGTTTTCTATGAATATTTTCTTTCCATGCTGTTCAATAATTACAAGCTGAATCTCTTCTTAATTTGTTATAGTTGGTTGTCATAAATGATGGGCGGGAGGAACTCGGTGTTTGTGCCTGTATTGAATGACAAGTGTGATGCCCGTCATTATTGAGGAAGAAAGTTGGGATTTTGATGGTTGCTTGATTGCAAGATTCACTTAAGCTTTTCAGTTAACTTTGTGATAAGAATATGGTACTAGTATTACTTAAGAATTATACTCTGCTTGTCATTCACTATGGTGAAAGAAGTTTGGGTTGCCACCACCGCGAAATCCTCCCATGGTAACATCCCTTACCCTTTAGTGCAAGGAGCAAGGTTTGAAGCTTGCTACCCTTTTCCTCTATGTATCCAAAAACAGATGAAAGAGAAAGGGGTTTGTTTCGGTTTATTGCTGCCGTTGATGACTAGATGTGTACTAAGGCTTTTGTTTCTCTGTATTTCAGGTTGAGTTTTCATAAGTGACCAAATTTGTATGCAAATTGTTTTAACAGTTTTCAGAAGGCGTAACCCTGGTTTGAGTATAATTAACATACTTTGGTCTAGAAAGGCTCATCATATACATTAATATGTGAAGAACTGGAAACTGAAGAAAGGCCTAAAGGTGTTCATTCTCTTCAAATATATTGGCTTATTAAGTGTAGTCAACACAGGGCTGGTATCCTTGAAGAAAACAAGATATCTATTTTTGAAAGGAAGTTTGTAAAGTAAAATATTCCCATTTCCATGTGCAAGTGCATTTGCTTGAGCTTAAAGCCTATCAACATTGCATTTTTCATCTGCAACTTTTAAGAAATGCAACCAACTTGATAGGTAGCTATGTTAATGTTCTGGTTTCTGTAATCCCTCTTGAGACTCTATATATTTGTTCTTGTTATTTGACCGCAGTAAAGTAAATAACGTTGGGCACATTGAATATTGTATTTTTTTGGTTAGGAATTAATAAGGATTGGATCCTTTATATTAGTTGTTTAATCGGGTTCTAGTTGTAGAATCGAGAAATATGTGAATGTTCCCGTGTCCAAACTAGTCTTGTGGTGTTAAATTTGGAATCAGCCGAATCAACAGCAGGCAAGACGAGAGCAAATTATAGCTGCATTTACATTTTAAACAGGAGTAAGTCGGGTTGATTATATATATCTTGGTAGATTTTAGGAAATCATCATATAATTTGAGTTTTTTATTCGGAATTTCACTTTCGAGTTGAATTTTAATCTGGAAGTTCATTACAACATATCTTGTCTCACTTAAATGTATAAACTGCCTCCGCTTTCTTTGTTCAGTTTTCCAACGCCCAACCCCGCCAAACCAAAACAACCCAAAAAAAAAGTGCAGACGCTGATTCTTCTGTAAAAGTGCAGGTACCTAAAGAGTGGACCAGGAAATTTAGAAAAAGATGTTGAAAGGAGATTCAGTTATGCACTATGTAGAGAGGATATTGAGAATGCCATACTTGGAGGGCCATAAGGATGAGAAAATGCAGATCCAGTTTTACTGTCTGTACCACCACATTCAGAGGGTTAGAGGATCCAGATTGACCAGTAGTTGAAGAATTTTTTCTCAGGATTGATGATGCAATAATTTGATTTTTTTTATTTTTTTTACACTAGGTGTGGTCAAATAATTTTCCTGTGTTTTGTACAACCCTTCGGGGGTTTTTTTTTTAAAAAATATTTTTCCTTGAATAGAAAAATAAGTGCATGTAAAAGCGTAAACAGACTCGTAGTGAGGAGCTCGGAACAGATTTTAGAATATTCCTTAAATTTGGGAGTTTGGTACAGCAATGTTGCCCTTGGTACGAGATTAGATTCAGGAACTTTTGATGTATACAAAATAGCTTTTGTTTCACAAATATAAAGTGTGTTTGGATAGAGTATTGTTTGAAACAATTATTGTAACACTTTTTATGATGTGATATATGTAAAATAAAAATGTGATTGAAAATATAAAAAAATATATTAAAAAATACAAGCAAAATATTATTTAAAAAAATTTAGCTGCATTTCGGATCTACAGCCAGCGTCATTCCTGGAGATCAATTTTTCTAGCCTGGGTTTCTTCTGTTATCCCTCATAATACAGCAACCAAGGTTTGTAAAATCGGGATCTTACGTAGGATCGATTTTAGTTTCACAGAATCGGATCGTAGGATCGTAAGATCCTACCAAAAGCTCCTAATTGCAATTAAAGGCTGCAATTCTTTGATAAATTACAAATATACCACAAATATTTTCATTTACTTACAAAATGGAGCTTCGTATTTCATAAATTTACAAAAAAGTGTAGGATCGTACGATCCTACACGATCCTACCGATCCTGCTACGATCCTACATAGATTAATATGATTTGCGACTCTGAATACGATTCGAATCGATTTTGGTTATCCGGATCGTAGGATCGATCCGGATCGCGATTTTGACAACTATGACAGCAACGTCTCATTTATCAAGAAGCTCTATATTTTTGCAACCTCAAAGCAATTTAAGTCCCCTATGATTATTAGCAATCCAAAGGGGCGTCGTCAAAATGGCCAAGAATCTTCTTCATTTGCTGATTGTACTACTATGACACAATTCCGTGCATTACTAGTGAGATTCCACCTTCATTTGACTATGGAAGCCACACTTCCATTTTGTGTATATATGCCACCACGGTGAACTAGAAAACAAAGTGCCAAACCGATGCGGGAGCATCCCGGCTTTCCGTCAGCTATTTGAGCAGTTGTCCTGTAGCTGCCTGTGCACTAAAGGGGGAGAGGATCACAAAATGGCTCTGCGGTTTAACTTCACTGTAATTCTGCAGAGCGATAATGAGACCAATATTCCTTCACGAGCTTGCCAAACAGTGAACCTTCTCTTTTCATCAACTCCATTGGTTCATCATACTCCACAAGTTTCCCTATCATATTTGTCAGACAAATTTTTAGCATAATGATTATGGTCAAAAAAGACCAGTTCAGCATAAACAAATGCTCAAGACATGAAGCTCACCCTCACTAATAGCCAAAACCTTAGTGCAGTCCATCACTGTTGGTATTCTGTGAGCCACCGTAATCACCGTGCAATCAGCAAATTCTGCCCTGATAGTTTTCTGTAAAATCAAGTCAGTAGCATTGTCTATTGATGCAGTTGCTTCATCAAGAACCAATATCTTGCTTCTTCTCAGCAGAGCACGGCCAAGACAGAACAATTGCCTCTGCCCCATGCTCCAGTTTGATCCGTCTTCCACAACTGAAATTAAAAGAGATAGGTTAGTAAATCTTACCAGCAGCTGCAGCTGCTCATCATTCATCACTACGCTAGAACTGGACCAGCTTACCCAAGGAGTCGAGGCCTTCTTCTTTCTCCCGAATAGCGTCTTTGAGTTGACACTTCTCAAGAACCTTCTCCAAACAGAAAAAAAGTTCTTATCAAGCGGTTAAAGCAACGCTGTTTTGAAAGTTGAAAAAGGAAAAAATGCAATTTTCTCAAATGCAATAGCCACTGGCAATAGGAATGCTGGACATTTAACCAAACATAAGCTGCAAATGCCAAATTCATGCTTTGATATGCCAAGATTTTAAGTACCTCCCATATTTCCGGATCAGTGTGTTGCCCCAAAGGATCTAAGTTGTATCTCACACTTCCATTGAAAAGAGTAGGATCCTGTGGTATAATCCCAAAACGTGACCTCAAGTCATGGAGTCCAATTGCACAGATGTCGATTCCATCTACTAAGATTCTTCCACCAACTGGCTCCACCAGACGAAAGAGCGCACCAATCAGAGTAGTCTTCCCACTACCAGTTCGCCCAACAATACCAATTTTATGCCCTCCTTCGAATGTACAGCTGATCCCACGAAGAACAAGCGGGCCATCAGAACGATACTTGATCTGTAATTGAACTGGTGTCAGCGGGTTGAAACAAAGATCGAATACAATATAAAAGTAGTCAAATAGATGTACCTGCAAATCTTGAATCTCTACTTTACCCACTATTGGCCAATTGGTTGGCGGTCGATTACATTCTATGACTTCAGGAGCTTCACTTGGTATGTGCATGTATTGGTAAAGCCTCTCCACAGAAATTATATAATTTGCCAGAGTACACTGGTTTTGGATGGAAAACACAAGGGACATATTTAATGAAAGACCATAGGACAAAGCCATTCCGATAAATCCTGCAATGACAGGGGACAATGATTAGAAGAGAAAATTTTCATTCTCAAACTTTAGCAGTATGGTGGACAAATGCCTGGATAATAAGAATCTATATTTTTGCTAGCATCAATTACTAGAGCACCACGGACCGGAGCTAAAAGTTCCAGGAGGAAGTAAAACCATGCAGAGAGCTGAGGAGGCAAGAACTGTGGCACTGACTGTCTCCAATCGTTGAATCAACCACTCATTAGCTGCAAAATTGTGGAAGAAAGGGCTGGCATTTGTGTCAACAAGTTCTAGGTTCTTAACAAAGAAACGCTCTTCTTGTTCGAAAGCTCTGATTGTCATGCACCCTGCCAAAGATTCAGCAAGATGATTTGCAACAAAAGACTTGGTTGTGCCGTTAATACGCATCAACTCTTTAGCAGAGGCAAAGTAATATCTCTGTTGAAAGGAAAACCCACGATGGTATTAGTACAGCAAAAGTTTCTATAATCTTTTCTTGTCATTAAATTGATAAGCAAAAGTTTCTATGAAACAAGCCGGCCAGCATGTTACCTGTAATCGAATAGCCAAATAGACCAGTGGTATCGAGACAACCAAAATTTGCCAGGTGACTACAGTTAGCACCACAAGACTAGAGTAAAAATTTATAGTTGATCCAACAGAAAAAATCAAGTTGAATGGAACATCGAGATCAACAATGCTCAGATCAACCGAGACCTGCTCAAGTAAAAATCAATGGGGGTTACTTTTAGTTCCAAGCCTGTAGATGTGTACTGAACTTGGCATACGTGAAACTCTTACTATCCTTACCCGGCTTAATATCCTTCCCAAAGGCGTTGAGTCATAAAATGCCATGGGCGCGCGGAAAAGAGAATTCAATAGCTGAAGAAATAATGATTTTGAAGATTGCAGACCCAAAACAACTGTGCTCAGAGATCTACTGAGCAGAAGAAATGTTGACGAAAACCCAATCACCAAGTAGACTACAATCAGTTTCAGCGTGCTAACTTCAGGATTGTCAACATTTGCAGCCATCCAAGAGTTCTGTGATATCTGACCAATCACGAAAGTAAGATGAGAGAAAGCAGCCACAGAAAAGAACAAGAAGCCTTTGTTCTGATTTAAATACTGAATGTAAGGCCTAAAGCCAGTGTCCCCGACTTCTCTCTCTTCTTGCTTGATCAACTGATCACCTGCAGATGCTTTAGAACCTTTCTCACTGTATGTCTTGCGGATTTCTTTGTTAGGAGCTTTAGGACTCGGGGAGGAAGTAACTTCGGAAATCCTCTCAGAACCTGCAGTCTCTTTGTGTGCATCAACCAAACTCTGAAATTCTTTACTAAAGGCTAGTAACTGATGATAGGGAGCTGCATTGAGAATCTCGCC